CGCCGGGGGGCGGGGCTGCGTCTGCCCGGTCTTTTACATACTGCCCCCACAATACCCCGCGGCTTCTAGTACATGCTTGGACGGTAAAACTAGTCAATATATGAGGGTTTTACGTGATCAAAGACACCTTAAATAAGCGCAACGGTAGGAGATGTTTGTTCATGTGGCGCTGTAGAAAGCCAGGTCAAATGGAAGTGTAACCTATACTGCTCTAACTGTAAAGTAATTTTATTGGTCGCCTTTAAATACGCTGTGGGGACAAACGTAGGTGTTTGTGCATATCGCCCAAATTCCGTGCCACGCCCTCTCTCTTGGGCTTAGAGCTCGAGTGACGTAATATGTCATCGCGGCGCCCCGCTCCTCCCACCATTTTAGCGCCTAGGCGGCCTTTCGTTCGGAACCAGCCGTCAGCGCCTGCTGGCGACGGAACCTTACTTTACTGAGCAAGACGCGTGAGGGTAGGGTGGTTTGTTAAGCCATGTCTTTTGTCTTGACACCTGCCTTTATTTCTCCCAATGGGTTTTTGCCACCCCTCCCAACTGTCTCCCTGTTCCATGTAGCTCGCATGCCCAAGGCGTTGAGTAATACAACCCAACATTCATTGAATGCCTACTGTATGCCAGGCGCTTCCACTCCTACGCACCCTAAGATTCTAGGCAGAGGTTGGCTGCATGGGAGGGTAGAAGGCAGGAGCAGGAGACAGGAGGCATGGGGGCCAGGACCCTGAGCAGCGGCCCCGAAGAAGGAGAAAGACAATGGACATCTGGTCTGGGGCAAACGGGTTTAGGGAAATGAGCAACGCAATAGGCAGGGTCCCTGCTCTCACAGAACTAGGGGACCAGCATGGAGACAGGCAAACAGACAAGGGGTGTCTGGTCTGGTTCCTGATGTCGAGCGCACAGCGTGAGGGGTGCAGATGGGGCCTCTGAGAAAGGCCAGGACCTGGGAGGTTGTGGGGGTGGCTGTTCTGAATTGAATCGTGTGGTAAGGGAGGGAGGTGACTTCAGCTGTCACCCATCCCAGATGTTGAAGGAAAACCTTCCAGACCTACCTGTCGGGTTTCATAATCCTAGGAGCCCAACAGCCTGAGTGAGCAGACAGACCCATACCTGTGCTACCACAACCAGGAGGCAAAAGTCATTCTCTTCCTGTGCTCCTCGTGGTGCCTGCATACAGTAGATGCTCAAAAATGCACACTCTTGAAATTATTATGGATCCCCCCCCCCCCCAGGTCACTTCTTAGTTGCAAAGGGGAAAAAATAATTTTTTCCAATGGAGAGGCCAGGCCGACTTTATCCCCTTGACCTGGGGAGCATTCCCAGCCGCACTGTGGCAGGTGCTGTGGGTCTCTGATATGCCCAGCAAGGCCCAATGCGCATGGGCTCCTGGGCAGGGAAATTTAGCCAGTGTGGCCAAGAAGCAGACTTTTAAACTCAGTTTATTTTTGTTAATATAATAATATACGTTGAAATAGCCCCACGTGCCAGTGGCTGCTGTATCCAGCAGTGCAGTCTAGAGCTCACTCCCACTTAATAGATAACACGAGACCCACGACGCCAGTGCAACTTCACCACGAGTGAAAACTGTGGCCAGCCTCTGGACAGTGCCTGGCCTCCTTGGAGAGTCACCATCAAGAAAAAGAACAAGTGGGGAAAGACAGTTCTAAACCTACACCACAAGAGACAGAGGAAGATTGAATGTCTCGCTATCCTTCCGGGGACAGCAGGGAAGTTAGAAGCCTGGCTGGATTTCCGAGGATGCTGTGGGGTTGTGTGTAGGTAGGGGGCGTGGGGGTGTAGCTGGTTTGGGGCAGGTTAAGAGTTACATTGGGACTTGTGAGGGGGGCATTGAGCAGATGACCCTCCAGCAGGGGCTGGAAGGAGGACAGTGCAGGAACCAGGTAGAGAATGTCAGGCAGAGGGCATAGCTAAAGCAAAGGCCCTGAGGCAGAGCAAGGAGAAGGCCCGCATGCCCTGAGCAGAGCAGGGTGGCCTAGCGGACACCTTTGTGGAGGGGTCAATGGGGATCTATGGCAGATTGTGAGCAAGAGAGGTTCCTGACCCAAGTTAACAGGCTGAGATTGTTACTTTGGTAGTTTTTGCTGCATCATGCTTGTTTTATTTTTATTTTTTTAAAATATATTTTATTGATTCTCCAGAGAGGAAGGGAGAGAGATAGTTAGAAACATCAATGAGAGAGAAACATCGATCAGCTGCCTCCCTCACACTCCCCACTGGGTATGTGCCCACAACCAAGGCACATGCCCTTGACCGGAATCAAACCCGAGACCCCTGAGTCCGCAGGCCGACGCTCTATCCACTGAGCCAAACCGGTCAGGCAGTGCTTGTTTTGTCTGAAGTGTCCAGGAGCAAATAATGCCTTTTTGCAGAGAGCAAGGGAAGCGCCTGAAGCCCCCCAGGAAGCGCCCAAAGCCTCTCCTGAAGGGCCCAGTCCTCAGTCCCACCCTGACCCTTTGGGGTCCGGCTCAGAGCCCAGACACTGCAGGGAGAGGATTGCCATAGAGGTGGCTGCCTCTGCTCCTGCAGCCCCCCGTGCCCAGACACCAAGACCCCTGGGTGTTGGAGTCCAGCCCCAGCAGGTCCAGGGGTTCCCAAAGGTGTGGACGGAATCTGCGAAGAAGACAGCGGAGACAGCGTTCAGTTGATCAGCATAGCCAGGTTCTCCCTTTATTGTCCTGTTACATCTGTATTTATACCATTTGATCCTATATGCATGCCTCTATAATCACATCACGGTATGTTTTGGGTAACCTTCTACAGTTCCTTGTTTTATTTCCATAGTTTCTTATCTGACCTTTGCCAAAAATCCTGTCTCTATCTAGTTCTGTTGATTTTAATCTTGTCTAGGTTAATCTCTGTGTTCCATTATAAGGGCTATTCCAAGGTCACTGCTCTACTGATAAGCTACAAGGAAATGACTGAAGGAGTTTATCCTACCCAGTAAAGGTTATGTCCTCCCAGCCTCGCTGCTTGCCTTCCCTGGGACTGCCCTGTGTCAGTGGGTCTCCAGGGGTATAGGCTTTGGTGCTTTCCCTGGTGGGCAGACCCCTGGGGATGCGGGCCCAACAAGTTCCAAATTTATTGCCAACAGTCATAAGTCCAAGTTCTTCATAAGTAGTACATGGTATTTCTGTAACACTAGGGGGATTTACTGATTTATTCTCTTCCTTAGTCCTGTTAA